ACACTTTTCAAACAAATCGGACTCACCTCTTACAATTAGGTGGTTGATTACTAGACCACACTAGGTACTGTTGCAAGCCTCGTCCCATTATCCCCGCCCACTTCTCAGCCCCGACAGGGTTTTCCGAGATGCTTCATGAAATCTGCTCCCTCGACTTTTTTTTCGTTTTTGCCCTTAGCACACACACTTCAACTGAAAAAGATTGATACCTATCAGATCTGACTCCGCCCACTTAACAATGAAGTTACGTTAGTTCTGAATTTTTATAACTTTTTTGACGTAGTTGTTTTCACATCCAAACTTTACAAAACGAATACCATGCACAGCACACCAGTCCCCGCCCCTCTGACCCCGCCTACTTGTGAATTTTGATTTTTCCTCCGCATTTTCGCTTTTTTAGGCTTTAGCGATTGGCTCCGCCCACCAATGGAAGCTCCGATCACTTTTCGAAGATGATGCAAATCGGCGGGCTAGTGTCCCTACTGGCGGATTACTGCCTCTCCCGTTGCTCAGAACAAAGTTTCCATTTTTTTCCGGTTTTTCCCTTTCTTTTATTCTATGTGCCCGGGAGAGGCGTAATCCGCCAGTAGAGACAGCTAGGCCGCGCCGATTTGCAATGGTTTTTGAAACAGTGGGCGGGGCAAAGTGGGCGGAGCTTCCATTGGTGGGCGGAACCAATCGCTAAAGAGTAAAAAGGCGAAAATCCGGGAGAAAAGCAAAATTCCGCGATAAACCCAAATGGGCGGGGTCAGAGGGGCGAGGCCTGGTGTGCTGTGCATGGTCATTCGTTTTGTGAAGATTGGATGTGAAAGAACTACGTCGAAAAATATAAAAATTCAGAACTTATGTACGTTCACTGTTAAGTGGGCGGAGTCAGATCTGATGGGTATCAATTTTTTTCAGTTGAAGTATGTGTGCTAAGGGGAAAAACGGAAAAAAAGTCGAGGGAGCAGATTTCATGAAGCATCTCGGAAAACCCTGTCCGGGCTGAGAAGTGAGCGATGATTATGGGGCGAGGCTTGCAACAGTACCAAGTGTGGTCTAGTTATCAACCACCTAATTGCAAAGGGTTTGTCCGATTTGTTTTGAAAAGTGTCCGATTTGATTTGAAAAGTGTCCAATTTGGTTTGAAAAGTGTCCGATTTGATTTGAAAAGTGTCCGATTTGATTTGAAAAGTGTCTGATTTGGTTTGAAAAGTGTCCGATTCAAAAATGGTATACGTAATACATGATATATGTGTGTAATGTGCCATTTTCACTTCAAATTCACTACTTTTCAAACCAAATTCACCACATTCCTCATCAAATTCACCACCACTTACCAAATCAAGTGCACCATCTTATTGGCCCGGGCAATTCATGAGCACCCAGACACCACTGCGAGCCCCTTCTCGACGGTCACGAATACTCGTCAGCGCGGACACAGATTTCCGAATCTTGTTTCATAACTTCTGCTTCTGTGACTTTTGTTGTCTTCCGCTGCTTCCCACAAACACTTGGAAAACGACCTTTCATCAAGCCGCCAACTCCGCCCATTCCTCAAAGGGTTTGGCAATCTAGGCTCCGCCCCCTTGGTCACGCCCACTTGCTTTTTGCGGAATTTTGATATTTTTTCAAAATTTTTGCGTTTATGGACATGCAGCCCCGTCCACTGTGGGAGGCTCTGCTCACTTTGAAGAAGCCCTGCCCACTTTTCAGAAATGGGGCGAATCGGCAGCATAGGGTCTTGGTTGAATGCTAGAGTATTGTTGAACATTCGGAACAAGCTTTGCCTATTTTCTTATTCTGGGTGACGAACGAGCCCTAGCATTCAAGCCAAGACCCTATACCGCCGATATGCACCATTTTTGGAAACTGGGCCGGGCTTCTCTGAAGGGGCGGAGCCTCGCACATTGGGTGTGGCTTAACGTCCTAGCCTAAAAATACAAGAATTTCGAAAAAAAAATATGAAAATTCCGCAAAAAGCAAATGGGCGTGACCAAGGGAGTGGAGCCTAGATTGCCAAACCCTTTGAATAATGAGCGGAGTCGTCCATGTGTCGATGGTCTGGCTCAACCTGGTTGACGAATTGCCCGACCCAATAAGTGTGGTGAATATGGTTTGAAAATCGGTGAATTTAGATTGAAAATTGTATATATTGATCTGAATTGGTTCCATTGTTACTTCACACGAAAAGTTGCTGCTGTGATTACTGCTCATGCTCCCTATGTATCCATCTCTTCAGATCGCGGCCACATACGGTAATACTATCAAAGTATTCGAACCAATGAACACTGCGTGTGAAAAGAGAGGGACGGTGGGAGTTTCTCAGAATACTTCTTACTGGTTAATGTCTTTCAAATATATCTGTACTCTTTTTGGAGGTATCAAGTTACCAGTGGATTGAAACGCAGTGTTTCACAGTGAAAGAGCGTGTCAACTTTGTTCTCTGGAACATGGATGGTCAGTAGTTAGTCTTGGCTCCTTTTTGATTTTTTCCCCAACCTTGTTTTCAGGCCTTCGCATGACTGTTGTGATAGGTAATGAGTTATTCCTTTACCAACATCGTAGTCTGAGCTGTGCTGTGCGACATGGCTCTACCACGCCAGTAATGTTTTGCATATCTGACGAGGTTTGCGAATTCGTTCATTCCTTCCATCATTTTAAGCGTTATTCATGTTATTCTAGGGTCCTTTTCGCGATGCCTGCATGTGGGATATTGTTTGGTCGGTGCAACTGGCCCACCACCCAAAATACGTGAAATTTTCACCTGATGGTGTATTTCTTGCTATTTCTGGCAAAAATGACCACTTAGTGAGAGTTTTTTATCAGAATTCTTCTGGTGAGCTCACTTCGCCTATTCAGTGTGCAGGAACCCCTTTAAAATTGTTGTGGTTATTTTTGTTTCAAGGTGACAACCAGAACCAGCTGAGCTTTGAGTCCTTTGTTCTCAGTCATCCAGCGCCCGTCCGAGGCTTCGAGTGGAGGCGGATCGGAAGATATATGCCACGGTGGGTCCAGCATATGTTGGGATGCCACGCATGTCTCAAAGCAAATTTTTTTTTGTTTTTCTGAAAGCCAGCCGAACACACTGGGGCACTTGGGCAATAGTGTGTCGAATCGCGGTGATTTCGCACAGAGGTTTTAAGGTTTTGGGCATTGTTTTCTCGTTATTTCCTCTGTTTTTTTTTTGTTGAAGAGCACATGCGAAGAAAGATGTTTAAGTTATAGGGGGAGGGGGCTTTGAATGGAAACCCAGCTGCTGCAAATCATATCATCACCTGTATCACATGTGCTCCCGTTGATCATCGAGCTTCTCGAGCGGGCGCCAGAAACGTCTCCATTCGTCCCTGCAACGTGCAAGAGTTGCCCAATGAATTCTCTCTGCTCGAGGGACAAGATGAAGTGCATACCATTCGTTCGGAGCTTTGACGAAGGAATCTGACCATCGCATAGGCGGTCGTCCAGGCGTTCGCTTGACATCCCGTGGAATCCAGTCGGTGATCGCTCTGGTCCAGCATTCGTCCTCGAAACGCATTACGTGCCCGGCCCACCTGATAACCTTGGCAAAAGTGGCGGCGTCTCTGGTCTTTAATCGTCGGCGGAGTGCGGAGCTCCAGGTTCCCTCTCTCAATTGCATGTGGCAGACGACCCGGGTACACATAGCTAGAGCATTCAGAGATGGTCGTTCCGTTGAGGGTGAATGGGGCATCAGAAAGCATTCCGTTTCTCATGAACATCGTCTTCGTTAGATTCAGCCGTAAACCGATTTTTCCACACGCGCAGTCGAAATCAGCCGGCATTCGTTCCGCATGCTCTATGTTTGGTGTTATTGAAGCGATGTCGTAAGCAAAGCGGAGATGGTGTACTTGCCGAACGATCCTCTCATGTCTTTGACGCATGGCGCTCTCGAGAGAGGCGCTGGAGAGCTTGGGCGAGATGGTGTCGCCCTGCCGGACCCCTCTCTTCACGTCGATGATGATCTTCTTGCAGAATGCTGAGATCCTGGTCGTGGAATCGCTGTAGAGCCCACGGAGGATCCTGATCTATTGAGTAGGGATACCCTGGTTTCCCTGAGCTCCGATAACACAACGGAGTCGAGGGGTTTCTTCAAGTCGATGAACATGAAACATAACGGCATCTTGTTCTCTCGTGACACTTCGATGAGCTTCGTTACCGTGGGGATGTGATTGATAGTGCTGAATACTTTTCGATACCATGCTTGCTCGTATGACAGCCCTCCAACTAGTGTTCTGCCCCTGTTCAGGATGGCTCATATGAAGAGTTTGTAGACTACAGACAGACAGATTGGGCGATAATTGCCTATGGCGTACAGGTCTCCCTTCTTGTGCAGCAACACAGTTTCTTGCCTAGTTTTCCCACGAGGTGGGCTACCTTTGCATTCCGACAGGTAGCGCGTGAAGAGTCGAGCCAGAATTTTGCCAAGAACTGGCGGAAGATTCTTGAGATGTTCGGGTTTAATCCTGTCGGGACCAGGTGCCGTACGATTCTTCACCGACGAAATGGCGTGTCGGACTTGGGAAGGGAGAACTAGAGGAACGACGTATCGATCCAGCTCCAAGCGGTATAATGGCAAGTGGACTCGCTGTCAAAGAGAGCAGGCTAGACGTCGTGTATGGCTTCTTTACTGCCCTTCTGGATGCGGTGATTGTTCCGCCCGGACGGCGGAAGCCGGTCATCTTGGTCATACAGTTGGCGAAGTCGCGGCGGGCGTTGCGTATGCTCTTCCCAATCTCTGCGGCTGTTGCTCTCCAATAGCCCTCGGAGGCCGCTCATTTCTACGAAACATGAAAATAAAAACGGCCTAAGCATCCCACTCGTTAGTTCGTTTTCCTATGGCTTTGGAGCCAAATTCGCGCCGGATCGCACAAGCTAACACGCGATTTTAATTAATTTTCGTTTTTTTTTGAATTTTTCGTATTTGTATTTACATCTACATTCGTTTTTCTTCATTTTTAGCCTTTGTCATCTCCACTGGTTTGCATCAGGAAATTGTGTCTCACTTGTACTTGAACTAACGAGTGGAACGCTGAGGCCGTTTTTAGTAGGTTGTCCGGAAAGTTCTCAGTGTTTTGTGTTACTATATTTTGTACATTCATTGCTGATTACAAACTCATTCTCCCTTGCGTATCAGTAGTACATCCAGAAGAGAATTTTTTTGCGCTATCTGAGGGTATAATTGCCGTCTCACCATTGCTTGATAACCCCCCTTTTCCCAAAACTTTTTGAAGCATGTCAAAAGAGCAACTCCGGACGATATTTTTCTTTAACTACAAATTGGGTCAATCCACAGTCGAGACAGCTCGACAAATTAACCAGGTTTGGGGGCCCAATAGTGTTGGAGAAAGCACCGTGCGACAATGGTTCGACAAATTTCGTCCTGGAGATTTCATCTTTGAAGATGAACCTCGTTGCGGTCGACTTGAAGCAATACCTGACGATTATTTGAAGAATTTGTAGAGGCTGACCGCTTCGGCAAACAGTTCGAGAGGTTGCAGAAACTAGGCGTTGGCAAATCCACTGTTGGGGATTGCCTGAAACGCATTGGGAAGGTGCAAAACTCGACAAGTGGGTGCCCCACAATTTGAGTGACCGACAGAAATTGGCACGTCTCGAGCTTACTTCTCCACTGCTTTTGCGCAACAGAAACGACCTGTTGGACCGAATTGTCACCTGTAATCAAAAGTGGATCATGTACGATAACAGGAGACGTTTAGGACAGTAGTTGGATGCCGACGAACCACCGAGGCAATTTCCAAAGCCGAATCCTCACGATTAAAAGATGATGGTCACAGTGTGGTGGTCATCGGCTGGTGTGATCCACTTTAACTTTTTGTCTTTCACCAACCGACTATAACCTTTTCAAAGAACTTCCTCGCTGGAAAATGCTTCATTAATCAGGGCCAGGCAAAAAAAGCCTTCGGGTTCTCGTCCACCCAGTTTTTTTCTTTGATAGGGTTTATCGACTGATGTCACATTGGCAAAAGCGTGCTGATAACGGTGCTCATTTGGATTAAATCCGATGAGCATTAAGAAAGTTATTAGGTTGGCGGGATAAGATCAGAATTACAGCAATGTTACTGTGGGGTCCTTGGCAGTGTTTGAGCACCTCATGGATGCCATCGCTTCACTATGCAGGGAGACACGACGCAAAGTTGGACACCATCTCAACCTCGACCTGAACTTGGGTTATGGAGGTTTTCTCGTCCGCATAACGATCGATTACGGAAGGCAACTTGCTATTAGAAGGGGCGATGTCTGTGCTACACAAATGTCAGGGGAGAGAGATCAAGCTCCATTGCATGAGGTGCGGCTCGAACTTTTTTGGACCAAGTGCGTTGCACTATCTTGGTGAGGGCCGGCTGTGCGGACAAATTTTTCCCTCTGTTCCACGATACGCCTTGGATCTCGTTGCTGCTTTGCGTACGCCTTGACCGAGGAAGCAGCTTCTTCATCCACCAGTTTCCCGACCCATAGCTCCCTCAAGCTGAGTTTGCAGGTAACCCAAACCTCACTTCGTCATCAGAAGTGCAGGCTCCCTAGGCTCCCGCTTTGAAGCGTCACTGTCGTTGCGAGGTTGCTCTATGATTGGGGGCATCTTGCTTATTCAGCTCCATCAATTTGGCATCTGCAGCTAACACGCTGGCGACAGGGTGTTGGGTGAAATAGTTTGTGGAAGTTGTTGGATGGGTCGGGGCTGATAAAATCCTTGTGCATATTGCAGAAGAAGGAGCAAGAGGCAAGCGGGTAGTACTAACAGAGAGACCACTCCTTGTTGCATAAAAGCTTACATTACCGGTTACTACTCTTGGTAATGGGCAAGTAATTTGAGCTCGGAAAAGAGTGACAGAACTTTCCCGCTAGCCTAATATGATCTTTAAAGTGAAACACTCAAAACGCCGAGAGCTTTCCGGACAACCTAACAGAACTTCTCCAATTCCATAAAGGACGCTTCGAGCTCATCCTCATCGTGGCTTAATGTTGGTGCGACTGCAAACATCCGATTGGGGTGGTCAGATTTTCGTACTAGTCGATGTTCATGGCCAAGTGCGTGTTGACGAGAACGCCCACATCGCCAACGCCTTTGCTGTCGCATGTTCCGAATAACCACTTTTCTTCAGTTTTGTATACGACGTTTAGCCGGTAGTACCTCTTTGTTTTGGCCACTCCGATCGCGTCGTACTTGATCTTCCTGGTTTGCTGCATCAGAACTTCGATGTGAGCTTCCGATGCAATCGTCCGTGCGCTGAAACTACAGATCGTCGTCTTAGTTGTGGGCGACTTCAATCTCCGCTATCCCCGAGATTCTTGCAGCCTCGCCTGAGCGGTCGCAGGCGATACCGCACTGTCAGTGGATCCCTGTTCAAGGGGAGTGGGGCCCATATTTACTAACTGTTTTCGGCCTGAAAAATTCGACCACACGTAGCTCTGCAGGCTGCGACGTGGCACCCTCCGCATTGGTTCGGTTTGGAACAGCCAAAACCGTGCTCTCGCTACGTTGAGGCTGCGGATAGGATTTGTAGGGATCACACACAAATATCGAACCTAATTCCCTTTCGAATCCTACTGAGAGCTCACTGATCCACCTCACTCAGGAATTCATGACAGTGAATAGAGAAATGGTAGATGTCGTAGAAGGCTTCCACGTTCTCATTAAAGACACATGGTACGCTCAAACACATTGAGGGTGTATGAAACTATCAGCCCCCCCCCCCCAGCTGTCGATGGGTAGTGGTCCCCCCCCAAAAAAAAACTGCACGGAGTTAGATACGGGACCGTGGAAAAGTCGTAATTGCTTGCTACGCCGCCCGTTTTTGCAAACTCACGTTTTTACTAACACCGTCCGCGCAGCGCGGTTGCGTGCGGCTGTATTGGCTTTTTGTCAAGTCCTTTATTGCGCTTTGGAATACAAGTACAACGCAATTTCTTTGTGCGGATAACATTTTAGGTGGTGCAAAACAAGAACCGAAGATGATGACGAGGGCTAGAATTCAAGAGCGACTGTGCTGCTTCTGCAACAGCCCTCGCAGGCCGCGCATTCCCACAAAACATCA